TTGCTTAATGACATATTATGGATATCATCCAAACCATTTGTGGATTAGTTTTACCATTTGGGTTATCGTTCGGGTATGGATTTTTTTTTATTATGGAAGCCTCTCAAAGGAAAGCTGTCATTGAAAATGCACGGGTACACTTGGAATTTGAGCCAGGGATGCCAGTAGTTTTAAAAAAGGGGGCATGTCTTCCAAGGGGTAGGTCACTCCGCACACCAATCTTGGGTCAACATTTTTCTAAGTGTGCCGTAAGTGAACCGCTGGTTTGTCGATTGTGCCATTGGGCATAAGCTGTGATTTTTCAAAAAATAGTATGGTATATTTGGCAACGCAGTATTTCTGACAGCTGGAGGTTTACAATCGCAACGGCCCCAAAAATGTCGAATATCGTGCTCGATAAGGATTTCTTTTACCGACGAATAAAACCCCTCTGCGCCAGCTGGAAGGAACAGAGTTTTCCCATGATGATTCGCTGCAGAAGGTGGATTGCATTCTGACGGTGGTCGGCGTAGACGAGGAAACCATATACAGCAAATCAACCTCGTTGAAGACCTGGCTGCTGGGATACGAGCTGATCGATACGACTACGGTTCTGTGCGAAAAGTCAATCTTTTTCCTGACCAGCAAGAAGAAGGCCGATTTCCTGAAGCAGATCGAGAAGGACGGTGAGGAGGGCATTCCGCCGGTGAAGCTGTTGGTTCGGGAAAAGAACGACAAAGACAAGGCCAATTTTGAAAAGCTACTGGAGGTGATTAAGGGATCCAAGGAAAACTTTCCGGGTGGCGAGTCTTCATCAGGGACAAGAGTTTCGACACGGTGCTCATCAGCGAACCAATCGCGTACATCATGCCCTCCAAGGAGGACACCAAGGTTATCACCATCAAACGGTAGATGTATTCAACAAGTACCTCAAGGATCACGTCATGGAGATTATGGATGCTGATAAGTAAAATATGCCAAACTGTCGGAGGGTGTCGAGCAGGCTCTGACGGACAAAAGGTACGTCTCTGGTGTGGATACCAACTAGTTGGACATGTGCTAGCTGGCGATTATCCAGTCGGGTGGCAATTACACCTTGAAGTTCAGTGCATTCAGCGACAAGAACTATCTGCACTTTGGATCTATCATTTGTGCTCTGGGTGCGTGTTACAAGTCCAACTACTCAAATGTCGTCCGAACGTTGCTGGTCAATCGAATGGAAACGATTCAGAAGCACTACGTTTTACTGCTCAATCTGGAAGAGGAACTGCTGAAGGTGATGATTCCGCGCAAGAAGACGTTTGATTTTACCATTGGGTTGGAGTTCCGGGAGAATTTGATCGTAGTACCTGAACAAGTGAAATTCAGTTTAAAAATGTGTAAGTTAATTAGGTCGAGTTGCAGCAATAAACATTCCGCGTGATTGTGCCGTGAAAATTAGTTCGGTATTGTTCAAATGAGTTTGGTTTGGCAGCCGACCAATTGACCGACTACTTTTCACGGCACAATCACACGGAATTTTTATTGCTTCCAGTTAACCTAATTAAGTTTTATTTTTATTACAAAAATCGAAAACCATTTATTTCATCTCATATAAGATGACACGTATCCGAAAATAAAACTACTCAAATTTAAACCGAAATCTCACTTCAAATTTACATACGTCGCATCGGTGGTAAGGGCACAGTTGTTACCCTTCACCGCCATCTAAGCATAACCATCGTTTCCCCAGTAATTGGACCAGGAGTTCTTAATAAGCCAGGAATCTTCTTCTGTTTTCCGTATCCAACCGCCACCATTGCATGATTCAATCCATCAATATTGCTCTTGCATTCCGGTTCCTAGTACACTCCATATGCGTAGTAGCTGAAAGACTTGCGACCGGCATCGATAGCAATTGACAACCCTTGGAAGCCTACATTTCAAATTTAAATGTGAACCGAGAAGTGAATTGCTAATCTGAGTTTCTCTAGAAAATTCAATTACAGTATGTTTCTGAAATACACAGTCAAACAGCACGTAATGTTGTGAACAACTTCAATAACAGCAGTCTAGCAGTGCTCCCATTTTTATTTAATGAACAATCCAATGCCTACGAGATTGTGCCGAAGGAATGCCGATGGATGTGCCCAAGCTGTGCCGAATCTTCTTTTGGGACACTGTGCTGAGTGACTTACCCCTTGATGTCTTCACTGCCATTTTTTAACGTGGTGAGTGGGGAGGCCGATTTTTTTTCAATTGATAGCATTAATTGAAGTTTGATTTTGCAGCAAATTTTTATATGAGAAGAACTGGGCAATTATGCTGATAATCCAATATCTATTAAAACGTTTTTTCTCTGTATTTTAATAGCAAATTTATATTTAAATTTGAAGCTATTGATAATTTAATACCGAAAAACCCCGTTAGTTCGAATAGCTTAAATGACAATTAAACGGCGCTCATTTTGAATTTGTGCAACTGGTAGCCCTACACAGGTGCGTACTTGTGTAGGGGTACCAGATAGACAAATTCTAAATGAGCACCGTGTAATTGTCCTTTTAGCTATTCAAACTAATGGGGTTTGACGGTATTTTCATTTTCATTTAACATTGTTCCTCCAACCCACAATCACAGGATACTTAGAATATAGATTTTTTTCGGAAACATCTTGATGAATATTTTGAACAACCTAGGAATAAAGATAATGTCATTAGGTTTAATGTTTCGTTACCCAAAAATTTCCATTTCATTCCGCTGTAGTTATCAAAGAGAAAACAATCTCTAACAGCAGAAACGCTGACTACTTTGCCTGTCTTGACCATGAAAATAATCCGAAAATATTGCAAGTCCATTTGACAGTTAATTTTTACTGGTTTCCAGTTATAAATCTGATATTCAACAATACCTCAATTATTTAAAAAAAATAAGAAGATAAGAGGTTGTATCCAAGACACGTACGTAGGATTACGTGCTCGGTATTAATATTCGATAACTGTGTTAGGAAAACCACTTTACTTTTGATCACCATTGCAACAGTTTTTTTTTTTTTTTTCCTTTGGTTTGTTTTTTCCGTCGATCTTGTTTTCCGTGCTGATGCTACCGACGTGCCAGGAAGGCAGCTTCCACACCTGGACCCTACCTATCAACCCATCAACTCATGAACCGGGGACCAACGGCTTTACTTCCCATTCGAAGGAAGGCGTGATCAGAGATGTTATGCCTCAGAACATCCCGGCGGCGCCGACTGGGATTGAACCCAGGCCTTCTGGGGTGAGAGGTAATCACGCTTACCACTACACCACCGGCGCCGTTCATTGCAACAGTTGGACATTTGTGTAATTTTCAATAGTGACCTATTGAAAATTGATACAGTGCTTATTTTAGCAGATTCGTAGAAAAATTTCCCATCGATTGGCTTATTTAGAATTAAAATCCATCCGTTATTGACAGAGTTATAAGTGGTCAAAACCTGACCACTTTTCGTAGCGCGGACGATTTTAGTTTTTTGAAATTAGACCCCCAATATGCTGCCGAAAGACGTAATCCGACGTGGTAGTAAATGGGATTTTCACGATTTTGATGACCTTGATCTCCAAAACCCCATGAAATAATAAAGGTGCATACATTTGAAGACATTTCTTCAAATACCGAGCCTATGTGTATCAGTATTAGTGTTGGGAAAATATGAACCAAAGAACAAGACCACGCCTGATTTTTGTAGACTAAAATCAACAAGCAAACGCTGTGATATCGCAGCTCGGAATATCAAGGTAACAAATCTCAACACACTGTGGTGAGATTGAGTTTCATGATTTTTGCTTTACACCCGAACGCAACCGAACCTTCCATAACGACTGGCAGCAGTCGCTTCGTGTTTGCCATCAATGAAGAGAAAAAAGAGATAGCATTATTATACCATCTTTTCCTAAGAAAACGAGGTGCAACGGAATCATTTTTGCGTCGATTCAACTCTCAGCTTCAACTTTACTCGTTGTGAATAGTCTCGCAATATCAAAGGAGCTCGTAAAATAATATCAAGCATGATATTTTGCTCCAATATCACGCGTGATGTTGAGAGCGGACAAATATCAATTTGCGAATGATTATCCCATCAATATTGATTAGTATATAACTCGTAGATTAACGATGGATTCTTCAGTGGTGTTGAGTACTTGGCACTGATGAAGTCTGCAAGTAGTAGACGAAATACGCGTATCTGTCAAGCAATTATAACGGAATTTAAAGGAAATAAACCAACCCACTCAAAGCTCTTCATAAAGGGATTCCGTTAAGAGGTTCGACAAATTTAAAGGATTAGATAACAATAGTTATTTCACAATAGTTTTCTCTGAAATTTGAGCGCGGGCAGGCAATAATCATTTTGATTATTAAAAAATTCTCAATAATCGGTATTCTGAGGAACCTTATCTGTATATCAGTATCAAGTTCAAAAATCGGTACAAATACCGATAAATCGGTATATCTGGCAACGCTGGCTGTCACTTTTTCCATTTCCTCCTTCTCATTATTCTCCTCCTTGGATTTCTATTTCTTTGTCCTCCGTCCACGCACAAGAAGCACCTATTTTCCAGTCCACCGTAGAATATTTGCCCACGTTCGTTCCATTCGTTCGAAAAAAAACTACGGTACAGATCGATATCCAATCACTACCCCATCCGTATCTCCAACGATCGACGCAGAGTAAACATAAATAATCCTAGCTGCAAGTAGGAGCGGCATCACGCAAACGAGTGCTACAGTACAGTCACCACCAACCACGGGCTTCACCCATAAATCGCATGAATCACCTTTCCTGTATCCCATAATAGAAATGTGTCAAAATCGTTATCATTGATTCATAACACCGAATCATTTCTGCAACTGACAACCCCGTATATCAGAAGCTTATCGACGACCTCACACACTTATCAATCCAGAGATAGCCAAATACAGAACCGCGTTATCAGCGGCGCAACAATCGGATATAACCAGTCTTATTTCAGCAACTGCCAGCTATTCTCACTTCACCATCCATCCCAATCGAAGTACATTTGCAATGTTCGCGTTAGCCGTCCTCGCAGGAATCATCCTGCTGTGGTACTTTCGAATCAACCAAAAGTACCAATACTTCAAAACCCGTGGCATTCCCTTCGTGAAGCCTACGTTCCTGCTGGGAAGTGGCGCACCGCTTCTGCTCAAGAAGAAGGACATACTCCAGCACGTTAGGGATATATACCAAACACACCCGACAGCAAAGTAAGTGACCGCCGATAGCTTGGTTGCCGTATTCCTGTTGTTGAACTCAGTTTTCCCCTTACAGAATCATCGGCCTGTTCGACTTCACGTCGCCGGTTTGGATGGTGCGCGATCCGGACGCGATCAAGCAGATGGGAGTGAAGGACTTCGATCACTTCAGTGATCATACGCCGATCTACACGCGAGGGGACGTGGAGGACATAGGAACGGAAAGTCTGTTCGGGAACTCGCTGCTACTGCTACGGGGACAGAAGTGGCGCGATATGCGGGCAACGCTGAGTCCGGCCTTCACCGGGAGTAAGCTGCGGCACATGTTCGAGCTGATATCGGAGTGCTCCCAATCGATGGTGGAGTTCTTCCGCGAGGAGGCGAAGGCCGGGAAGCGTTTGGAGTACGAGATGAAGGATGTGTTTTCCCGATTCAGTAACGACGTGATCGCTTCGGTGGCGTTTGGGATCAAGGTGGATTCGCTGCGGGAGCGAGAGAACGAGTTCTTCGTGAAGGGAAAGGAGCTGATGAATTTCCAGAACATGAAGACGGTGGTGAAGGTATTGTTGATGAGGATGTCACCAAGGTTGATGATCAAGTTGAAGATGGACATATCCAGTGCGGAGATGAATGCATATTTCAGGGGCATGATCATGGATAACATGAAGCAGCGACAGCAGCACGGAATTGTGCGAAACGACATGATCAACATTCTGATGCAGGTGAGACGGGGAGAAATTGAGCATCAGAAGGAGGAACAGGCGAGCACGGAGGCTGGGTTCGCAGTGGTTGGAGAGTCCAGTATTGGCAAAAGTTCTCACAACCGCGTTTGGTCTGACAATGAACTGGCAGCGCAGTGTTTCCTGTTCTTCATTGCCGGATCGGATACCGTTTCGACGTGCCTTACATTCGTTAGCTACGAGCTTCTCATCAACCCGGATATTCAGGACAAACTGTACCAGGAGATCGTGGCGGTTGATCGATCGCTGGATGGTAAACCGGTTAGCTACGAAGCACTTCAGAAGATGCAATACATGGACATGGTAGTTTCCGAGTCTCTTCGCCTATGGCCTCCGGCTCCGTTCGTTGATCGGTTCTGCGTTAAGGATTATCTGTACAATGATGAACAAGGCACACGGGTACAGATCCATAAAAATCAACTCGTGTGGTTCCCAACGACTGCCCTTCACCATGATCCTAAATACTATCCGGATCCGTTCAAATTCGATCCTGAACGATTTAGCGAGGAAAATCGAGACAAGATTCGACCGGGGACTTATCTACCGTTCGGCGTGGGTCCTCGGGCCTGCATCGGATCCCGGTTTGCACTGTTGGAGGTGAAAGTGATCTTGTACAATCTGCTGCGGCACTTTACCCTGGTGAGAAGCGAGCAAACGAAGGTTCCTCTGAAGCTGGAAAGCAAAATGATTGGAATTAAGATTGCCGGAGGAGTCTGGCTGGAATTTAAACCTAGGGAGTAACATATCGAATAAGCTTTACTGGTAAGATCTTTACTAATATAGGAGCTGAGATGAATCGGTAATCGGTCCCCGCTTTACTAACGTTAGTTTTAAGTAATTTTGTTATCTAAACAATGAATATCGGCTCCGCAAAGCTACAGAAAATGAGCCTGGAAAAATAAACGCATTATTAAAAAAAAAATGATTAAATTAATGAGAAATCGGTCCCTGATTTGAAAAATCCTTATCATAACCCGTTCTGCAATGAACCATAAAATTAAGCAGGCTTAGCGCTGCCGTGCACTCCGTTATCACCATGGCAACAACGTGATGAATTTACCGCAATTTCTTTGATCACCGCTGTACGTTCGCTCTAGATTTGCCGTATTGAAGTCAGGTCAGGTTCGAAAAATTTAAAACATCCAACTAGATTATCCAAACTTTATTAATCCAACTCCCCGTCAAGCCCGTGGCTTAAATTCCAACCACATACCACCTTCCGCTGCCATGCCGATGAAACTCTTCACCAACTGCAGCGGAATCTTCGACTTCTGGCTCCGTTCCAAGGTGAAGTTCTTCACCAGATGATATACGACCGCCTTGACCTCCATCAGGGCGAACCGCGAGCCAATGCAGTTTCTCGGTCCAACTCCAAACGGAATATAGGTCGCCGGGTTGATCTTACCACGATTCTGCTCGCTGAATCTCTCCGGATCGAACTTGTCCGGGTTCGGGAAGTATTTAGGATCGTGGTGCAGAGCCGTAATCGGGAACCAAATGAGTTGACCCTTGTTAATCGAGATTCTCGTTCCCTGACCGTCGTCGTACACGTAGTCCTTGACGCAGTAGCGATCGGTGAACGGAGCCGGAGGCCATAAGCGTAGCGTCTCCGATACGACCATGTCTAGGTATTGCATCTTCTGAAGAACTTCGTAGGAAAGAGGTTTTCCGTTCAGCGAGTCCTCAACGGCCATAATCTCTTCGTACAGTTTCTGCTGAATGTCTGGATTGACCAGCAGTTCGTAACTCAAAAAAGTCAAGCAAGTTGACATGGTGTCAAAGCCAGCTAGGAAAAACAGGAAGCACTGCGCTACGAGTTCGTTCTCAGACCAAACGTGACTGTGAATAGACTTTCCAACGCTCGACTCCTCAACAGTGGCAAAACCTGCGTCTTTCGCATCCTGTTCGTCCTTCTGGTGCTTCAGAGCGCCCTCCTGAACCTGCATCAAGATGTTGATCATGTCGTTACGCACTATGCCGTGCACCTTCCTTTGCTTCATGTTATCCAAAATCATGCCCTTGAAGTACGCGTTCATCTTGGAACTCGAGATGTCCACCTTCAACCGATTCATCAAACTCGGCGCTACCCGTAGTAAGATGATCTTCACCAGCGTTCTCAAATTCTGAAAATTCAGCATCGCCTTTCCCTTCACAAAGAAATCGTTATCCTGCTCCCGCAGGGAATCCACCTTGATACCGAATGCTACCGAGCCGATTACGTCCGTACTGAACCGTGAAAACAAGTCCTTCATCTCGTATTCCATCGTCCGACCGGCCTTGGCTTCTTCGCGGAAGAATTCCGTCGTAGATTGGGCACAATCCAGCACCAGCTCGAACATGTAACGCATCTTGCTTCCGGTGAAGGCCGGACTCAGCGTGGCCCGCATGTCCCGCCACTTCTGTCCTCGCAGGGCAACCAGTGAGTTCCCGAACAGACTTTCCGTGCCCACATCGTCACGGTCCGCTTGCGTAAACAGTGGCGCATGATCGATAAAGTGATCGAAATCTTTGACTCCGATCTGCTTGATCGCATCCGGATCGCGGATCATCATGGTCGGTTTGACGAAATCGAACAGTCCAATGATCCTGCAAAGAAAGAAGGAGTAATACTGCTATATTGGCGTAGACTACGCCCCGTGGTCAGCTTACTTGGCATTCGGGTGACTGTTGTACATCTTCTGCATATTCTGCATAATGTTTTCCCTTTTCAGCAGTACCGAGGCACCATTGCCGAGTAGGAACGTGGGCTTCACGTACGGTATGCCACGCTCCGCGAAGAATTGATACTTGCGGTTGATGAACTGGTAGAAGAGGAAGAAGATCCCGGCGATGAGTGCCGCCAGCACGAACGGATCGAACATTATGCTTGCTTTGTTTGTCAACGGTGTTCTGACGAATGTCAATGATCTGGGTAAACTGTGGGCTTTAAATTCCCATCGCCTGGAAAGATATGGAACCGGTTATCGGAGGGAAACTCGTAATCTCGTTGTCTACTGTACAGCAGGTCGATGTGCCAAACTGATAAGAACAATCTAGGCGCGGTACGTTGTCTCACACGATGGAAGTACGCCAGGAGATTTGGACAGTGTTAAGTGGAATATGATTCCTAGGTAGAGGGGGCAGCGCATTTTGGGGGATTTAATAGAAAATAAATACACTTTGTTCGTTGAAAATAAGCCAAATTTATTGAAACAATAATCCTGACTAACTGTTAACTTTGGGGTGATTTTTAGCCACTTCTAGGCTAGTTCGTCAGAATTATAAATCAAATCGAATAAATCTCATTAATGTTATATTTTCCATTCCTTCCATTACAGGTAAGCAGTAAAGCAACTATGACTACGATTACGGCTACACCCGACCCTTCCAAGGTATGTTGAACAGCTAAACTAACTCGCCAGCACCTACAAGTTCCTCGGTTTGAACTCCACCCAAGCACCGTTCTCGGTCCGCACATCGACGGCTTTCTTGGTAAGCATTATCGGCACGTCCGTCTTCTCGGTGGGCTCGAAGCTGAAATCCTTCAGCAGATAGTATACCACCAGTTTCACCTCCATCAGTGCCAATCGCGATCCAATGCAGTTCCTAGGGCCCGCTCCGAACGGCAGATAGGACCCCGGAACGATCTTCGATCGATTCTCCTCGCTGAATCGCTCCGGATCAAACCGCTCGGGATTGGGGAAATATTTGGGATCGTTGTGGATCGCCAGGATCGGAATGTTGATTTGTAGGCCATTTTCGATGACGAACTGCAACCCAGCTCCATCGTCGAGCAGGTAGTCTCGGTTGGCGTAACGATCGGTATCCACGGTCGGAGTCCACTTGCGGAGAGTTTCCGAAACCACCATATCCAGGTACTTCATCTTCTGGAGTGTTTCGTAGCTCGGAGCTTTTCCGCCGAGGGATCGTTCCGTGTCCGCCACTTCTTCATACAGCTGATTCTGGATATCCGGATTGAGCGTAAGCTCGTAGGCCAAGAAAGTCAAACAGGACGATACGGTGTCGAATCCAGCCAGGAAAAATAGGAAGCACTGCGACGTCAGTTCGTTCTCCGTCCAAACCCTTGCATGCGTTGACTTTCCAACCTGGGACTCTTTGACCGTTGCAAAGCCTGCATCGTTCAATTCTTGATCGTCTTTGCCATGCTTCAGAGTACCCTTCCGAACATCCATCAGCATTTGAATCATATCGTTGCGCACGATTCCATGGACTTCCCGCTGTTTCATGTTGTCCTTTATGATCTTCTTGAAGAACACGGCCAAATCGGCATCTACGAAGTCCACTTTCAGCTTCCGCATCAGCCAGGGCATAGTAGCAAAAAGTAGAAACTTGATAACAATCGTAAATGACTGGAAGTCCAGCATCTGTTTTCCTTTCACGTAGAATTCATTTGAGGGATCGCGTAGCGAATCGACCTTGATACCGAACGCCACAGTAGCGATCACGTCATTACCGAACCGCGAGAAGACATCCTTCATCTCACACTCCAACCTCTTGCCAGCCTTCGCTTCTGAGCGGAAGTGTTCCACCATAGATTGGCTACATTCGACCACCAGGTCGAACATGACCCGCATCTTACTGCCGGTAAACGCCGGACTCAACGTCGATCGCATGTCTTTCCACTTTTGCCCACGCAGAGCAAACAACGAGTTGGCGAACAGGCCTGTGGCACTGTCGTCGTCTTCCGTGCGATTGCCACTAAACGTCGGTGTATGATCCATGAAGTAGTCAAAGTCCCTGACGGTTATCTGCTTGATCACGTCTGGATCACGGATCATGAATACCGGCTTCGTCAGCTCGTAGAATCCGACCACCCTGAGAAGAAATCAATTATTGCAAACATCATCGGGAACTTTGAACGGCAACTCACTTGGAATTTGGGAAGGCGTAGTACAGTTCGTCGGTTTGCTGCCGGACATCCTTGGTTCGGAAAATGGCCGCACCGCGGTTACCCACCAGGAAGGTTGGCTTCACGCATGGTATCGGCTTCGATAGGAAGTACTGATATTTGTTGGCTACGTAATGATAGATCAGCAGAATCAAAACACCGACGGCCACGGCTGTGAGCAGATCCACTTCCATCGTGATAATGTTGTTGTCACTTGATAAGAGCGCGGAGATAACTACGACGATGCAATTATTGGATTCGTACTTTTATACCGTCTACCGGTGTGACAGATAAGAAGAAGATAAGGCGGCAACAATGATGAAATTTTAAGAATGACATGTGTAAGCATTTTTATTCCATTGATTTAGGATACAGAATGCTGGGATTTGGGTCTTCACCGTCGAAGCTAAGCTGAACACGAAACGGTTTCCAAATGTTTACGGATTAAATTTCGGGTGTAAGGTCCTATCGCAAATGAAAGCTGACACAGTGCGATTAGATCACTGAAACGATCGCTTGATAAAAGTTTGACAAACGTTTCGGGACGTGATAAAATTGACTTTACAAGATATTTAAAAATTGCTCCTTTATTCAAACTCTAGTGATGTCTCGCTTTCAGCTGAATCCAACAGCCCTTTTCCGGTTGCAAGGTAAACGAGGCCCGTGCAAGCTGTATCGGTATCTGGGTCTTCTCCGTCGGTACCAGGCTAAAGTCCTTCAACAAGTTGTAGACAATGCATTTGACCTCCATCAGGGCCAGCCTCGATCCGATACAGTTCCGTGGACCTATCCCGAACGGTAGATAGGCTCCCGTATTGATCTGCGATCGCTTTGCTTCGCCAAAACGCTCCGGATCATACTTTTCCGGACTCGGAAAGTACTTGGGATCGCGATGAATGCCATAGGTAGGGATCAAAATTACTTGACCTTTCTCGATGACGAAGCGCGTTCCACAATCATCGTCGTAGAGGTAGTCCTTGTTACATAATCGATCGGAAACGACTGCGGGAGGCCACTTTCGCAGCGCTTCCGATACGACCATATCCATGTACTCCATCTGCTGCAGCGTTTCGTAGGTCAAGGGTTTCCCATTCAGGGATTTCTCCGTCCCCAGCACTTCCTCGTGAAGACGCTCCTGAATATCCGGATTGATCATTAGCTCGTATGTTAAGAACGTCAAACAGGTCGATACGGTGTCGAACCCGGCCAAGAAGAATAGGAAGCATTGTGCGATCAGCTCATTCTCCGTCCACACCCTGGAGTTCGTTGATTTACCCACTTGTGATTCCTCTACCGTCGCAAAACCAGCATCCTTCGTATCTTTCTCATCCTTCTGATGCTTCAGAGTTCCCTTTCGGACATCCATCAGCATCTGAATCATGTCGTTCCGAATGATACCATGATCCTGCCGCTGCTTCATGTTATCCACAATCACCCGCTTGAAGTACTCCGCTGATTGTGCGTTTACAAAGTCTGCCTTCAACAACCGCATCACCCTGGGCATGAATCGAAAACATAGGAACTTCACGAGCGTAATCAGCGACTGAAAGTTCATCATCTTCTTTCCTTTTACGTAGAACTCATTGTCAGGATCACGAAGCGAGTCGACCTTAATCCCAAACGCCACCGTCGCAATCACATCGCTCCCGAATCTCCCGAAAGTGTCCTTCATTTCGTACTCCAGCTTTTTCCCGGTCATCGCTTCCGCTTTGAAGAATTCAACCATCGACCTTCCGCATTCGGCTACCAGTTCGAACATGTGTCGCACCTTGCTCCCGGTAAAAGCCGGACTCAGCGTCGCCCGCATGTCCCGCCACTTCTGACCTTTGAGAGCAAACAGTGAGTTGCCGAACAAAGTGACTCCATCGTTCGAGTCTTCTTTGGTGTCCTTACCCAAATCCGCTTGCGAATGATCTGAGAAGTAATCGAAATCCTTGACAGCCAACTTTTTGATCATGTCTGGATCTCGTAGTAGGTACAATGGTGTCGTAAAGTCGTAGAAACCGGGGGAATTGACGGCAGCTGACGGTTAGGCCATCTATTTAATACGTACGGAAACTCACTTGGCATACGGGTAGGCATCATACAGGGCCAGGAAGTGCGATGCCTCGTCCGTCTTGCGGAATAGGGTTGGCCCATTGCAACCCAGCAGGAAGGTCGGCTTGATGCATGGTATCGGCTTCGGAAGGAAGTACTCATACTTTTTCATTACGTAGTGATACAGCAAGAGGACTACGGCAACGACGGCCGCAGCCGAAAACAGGTCCACTTGTTACATTTTCAGTGGAGAGCTTGCGGTAGACTGAATCGATGTCTGTTCCCAGCCCGTAAATGAAAATAAGCTGACTCAGATTAGATAACGGCAGTTGTAAATTATAGGGGTTGAAGAAAGTGATAAAATTATGATAACGAGATGTTCAGACAAAGATAAAGGTATGTATTCAAATAAAACAATGCTTAATGCTTCCTAGGTTTAAAATTAAGCCAAACTCCATTCTCCGCCTGCAGCGCGAAGAAGTTCTTGGACATCTTCAACGGAATCTCGGTTTTCTCCGACGGTTCGAAGCTGAAGTCCTTCAGCAGGTTGTAGATGATCGCTTTCACCTCCATCAGTGCCAATCGTGATCCGATACAGTTCCGTGGACCCACTCCGAACGGCAAGTAAGCTCCAGTGTTGATCTTCGAGCGATTCTCCTCATTGAATCGCTCCGGGTCGAACTTATCCGGGTTCTCGTAGTACTTTGGATCGTTGTGAAGGGCGATCGTTGGGATCCAGACCGTTTGACCCTTTTCGATTACAAAGCGCGTCCCATTTCCGTCGTCATACTGGTAGTTCTTGACGCAGAAGCGATCGGAAACTACAGCCGGAGGCCACTTGCGTAGAGCTTCCGATACGACCATATCCATGTATTGCATCTTCTGCAGCACTTCATAGGTCAACGGCTTTCCATCAAGTGACTGCTTCGTTGCCTCCACCTCCTCGTGCAGACGATTCTGAATATCAGGATTGAGCGCTAACTCGTACATCAGGAAAGTCATGCAGGTCGACACTGTGTCAAATCCGGCTAGGAAAAACAAGAAACACTGTGAAATCAGTTCGTTCTCCGTCCAAACCCTGGAAATCGTTGATTTTCCCACATTGGACTCTTCTACCGTTGCAAAACCAGCATCTTTCGTGTCCAGTTCGTCTTTCTGATGGTTCAAAGAACCCTTACGGACCTCCATCAGCATCTGAATCATATCGTTTCGCATGATTTTATGCGTTTCCCGCTGTTTCATATTATCCACGATCATCTGCTTGAAGTACTCCGTCAAAGTAGAATCCACAAAGTCCACCCCAAGCTTCTGCATCAACGAAGGCGCAGCACGTAACATCAGGAACTTCACCAGTGTCATTAATGACTGGAAGTTGAGCATGGCCTTTCCCTTCATATAAAACTCATTCTCCCGATCGCGCAGCGAATCGACCTTAATACCGAATGCCACCGTAGCAATCACATCGTTCCCGAACCTCGAAAACGTATCCTTCATCTCGTACTCCAGGTTCTTCCCGGCCTTAGCTTCCGATTTGAAAAACGCCGCCATCGACTGGGCACAGTCCGCCACCAGTTCGAACATGTGCCGCATCTTGCTTCCGGTAAATGCCGGACTCAGCGTTGACCTCATGTCTCGCCATTTTTGTCCACGAAGTGCAAACAGCGAGTTACCGAACAGACTGTCTCCACCCACCTCGCCTTCCTCTTTACCGTTAGTCATCGACGGCGTATGATCGGTGAAGAAGTCAAAGTCCTTCACCGCAATCTGCTTGATCACTTCCGGATCGCGGAGCATATAGATCGGCTTCATCAGATCGTAGAATCCGGTCACCCTGCGAAGGAACAATTCAGCATTCATTACACATCCAGACACACACACACACACTCACCAAAACAAACTCACTTAAAGTCCGGAAACGTATTGTACAGAATTTTCACGTGGGACGACACATCGCGCCGGCGGAACATCATCGGACCGGTATTTCCGAGCAAAAATGTCGGCTTCATGGCCGGTATCGGCTTCGGCAGGAAGTACTCATACTTCTTCGCCGCGTAGTGATACAGCAATAGGATTATGGCACCGAGGGCGGCTGCCAAGTACAGATCCACTTCTACCATCTTGTCCAAGCGCACGTTCAAAACCGACTGGCACGGAAATTGCTCGTTCTAAATCTATTTATCAAACAAACGGAACTCAATCAGTAGGCTCTGCGAAGATTAGATTGTGCTATCATGGTAGGCCGTGCCCGCACGGCGACGTAGATTTACTTATATGGTCAAAACAAACACCGTTGGGAAAGGTTTGGAATGAAACAATATCTCCCTGATAAAGTTAAGAACGATGCCCTCAAAATGAATCAGACTTCTAATCGAGAGTAGCTATAATTTTGAAAACTTACCGATTTCACTGCCACCTCCAGCAAGTTCAGCGAATGACTGACGAGACATTATCTAAATAACTAGTTTGAACTACCCTGCCGCACCACCAACACCAGCATCGTTGATTAATGAGCAAACAAGTGAACTCGCAACTCGCGATTCATATTTATTTTCTGTCAAGTCAAGGTCAAAATCTCTCTGCGGCGGGCGGCGGGCGGCGATCTGTGGCGGTGTGTGATCTCCCATCCAGAATTATATAGCTCTGGAAATGTGCACTGTAATGATGGACGCTTGCCGATTCACATCGGTTTGGGTGAGGGTAAATTTGAGGTGTGGTTTTTTTTTTCGTCGGACTAGGGAACAACACACAGATACCTACTCCGTGATGTGCGGAATCGAAGCAGGCTGTGGATGTGATGGAATGTGTGCTTGGTTGCCATCGTTGCCGTTCTGCAATTTGCTCGGTGCTTATTTGATGCATGTCCATATTATACATTAATCTCTGGAAAAGCTACATCACGTTTATTGACAAATCAAAGTTGGCTCACGTGGATTATAGAAGAACTATTAAAGTGATGTTGATGTAAAATTCTTAATGCTTTTATTTTGCAGATGGAGCATTTGTTCAAAATCTGGTTGAAGCAGCACAGTGGTAGTAAATCTAAAATCTATGTATACAACTTTTCTATATTACATGTCTATTAAGTAGCCCTTAAGATTTCTACTAACGTAGCATTAACCAGAATTTATTTAAATAATTTGTTCGCAAAATAAATGCATTTTAATATTGCACTCGTATACCTCACCGGGCAAAATTTTAAAACTATCATCACTTTCATAGTTCTTCTATTCTCCACGGAGGCCAACTTTGATTTGCCATTTATTTTTATTTTTTATTTTTTGACTATTAATTTATTTGATAAGGCTCAACCGAATTAACTTTACAGAGCCGAGGATTCTTGTTCACTATACAATACATCTTAAAACTATATTCAAAAGGCACAAAACAATAAACAGTTTATCTTCCGCTATCCAATAAGCCTCCTCCACCAGAATGGTTTCATTGTATGGCAGATTCACCAATGGGGGTCGGAGCGCTTCCATTGTAGCAATGGACGCAAAACGTGGTCATCACGAAACGGTTGCTTTCCAAAGTCGACGACGCATCGACTGAAAGAACTGCTGATGAATAACAATGAGGAGGACCACACAGTGGTTGCTGCCGAGTAAACAGACGATCGCGGGACACAGAGTGGTCTGCTTCTATCGACAGCCGATGCAGAAAACATTTTTCTATGCTGTTGTGAGATGCATGTACGATTATTAGATGCAAAGAAGATTTCCTGTGAAAAGGTGGACATCGATGCGAGTAGATGGATTAAGGTGCAAGCGTGAGATTTTTCGACCATCTAAAATTGAGATTTAGAAGTGTTGCACCTCAAGTGTAAATTTCAGTTCCATGAGTATTAGAGATGAACTAGCCTAAGGCTAAAAATCTCTTTAATAAAGAATTAAAAAAAAAAAAGTTCCATGAGTAAGCTTCTTGCTATACAGTAACCCCACCGTATATGCGGCGGGTGATACCGTCAACCCATCGCTGTTTCTCGGCATTCCTTCAAGGTGTTTCGTGACAACCATAAACTAGTTGGTTGAAGGACAGCCGAAAAACAGCGGTGGGCTGACGGTACCACCCGCCGCATATACGGTGGGGTTACTGTATAGCAAGAAGCTTACTCATGGAACATGGAACTGGAACTGTTTTGTCGTAATGGTTGTGTAATGCTGAGCTATTAGGGTGTTCAACACGGATGAAGCTGACGAGCTGAATGTTGTTTGGAATGAAGATGACGCGCTGAATCCGATCAGCGGTTGAGGGCAGCCTTGATAGCTAGCTGCTTGCGGGGAACCTTTCGTTGTATACTGGAGAACACAACCGCTCACCGCACGCGGTGATTGAATTAACAGCGTTCGGAGAGACCGGATGGAATTCAATTTTGAAATCTGTGTTAGGAAAAGTGCTTTTTGCAGGCAATCGGTGATCATTTCAATTATCATAGCAACCGTTGCACATTCATGCAATTTCAATAGTGACATTTTGAAAAATGATAAATCTTTAATTTTAACAGATTCGTAGAAAAATTTCTTATCGATTTGTGTATTAAGAATTAAAATCCATCTTCTCTGGATCTAAATCAGACCACATTCATGTCGCGAACGACTTTGGTTTTTGAAGTTGCACCCCCAATGTTGCCTTAAAGATACATGGTATGTTAGATTTAAACATATAGGAACTGACATCCGATTGATGACCTTGACAAATGTCCAAAAAATCCTCTTTAACAAATTTTTGGTGGTCCGGAAAAGGACCGTTGTAATGCTGAGCTATTAGCGTGTTCAACATGGACGAGGCTGGCGAACTGTATGTTGTTTTGAACGAGAATGACGCATTTGGCAAAGATGGCACACATCGACTCACGAAGATGGATCCCGATCAGTAGTGGTGAGGCTACTTCCTCCTTCTTCGGTGAATGAACGCTTATGTGGGCTGCAGCTCGCTGCTTGCGGGCAGCCTTTCGTTGTGTACAATGTTCAACGCTACGCGCCGAAAGCACTGCTGCAGCTGACGACCGATCGGACACCAACCACACACGGTGATTGAATAAGCACCGTTCAGGGAGACAGGATTGAATTCGATTTTGAAATCTGTGTTAGGGAATACGCTGTTTGCAGGCAATCGATGATAATTTTGATCACTATTGCAACAGTTGTGTTGTGTTGTTTTTCGTAATGCGGCCAATTTTGGTTTTTTGCCTTATGTTGTATGTTGCCGAATGACGTAATCCTGCGTCAAAACTTCTTCTGGTACAGTCCTTAAAATCCCCCAAAATGTGTTTCTGGTCCAAAGTGTCTTCCGACTGTTTCCAATAGTTCATCCAGGCTTCAGGGCTGGTAGCGAGTCACTTTTTAGTGACTTGGTCACTTTTTTCATGCAACTCACTAAAAAGTTCCCTTTTTAAGGCCAAGTCACTAAAGTCACGTTTTCTTGTAATCAGTCACTATTTTAAACTTTTTGAAACGTGAATTTATTTCAAGATTGACCATTCTTCTTGCAATGTGTAGGATAGTCCTATATTTTGTCGAAGACATCATATCAAGAAGATCTTCTTGATATGTTGTCTTCGATTTTGTTCTAATTTTTGAACAATTCGAAGTTGACGGCCTTGTATAGAGATTTTTGACGTTTAATCTTATTTCTCTATCTACAGGGTGTCCACTCACTGGGCTAAATAAAGTTCCCTGAGTTATTCCAGGTTTTTCCACAACTTTGGAATTTCCAGGTTTATAATAAAAAAGCCATTTATGAAATGCGTTAAAAGTATGATTTTTTTTTTTGTAAAACAACAACAACAATAATTAACGCAACCGATTTGAAGACATGGCAATCAGTTTTAAAGAAACAGCTTTACTTCATTTTAGTAACTCTAAGATCACAACATTTTTAATGGATTGAAGTTTCGCACTTGCAGAATTGTGGAAATTTTTAAGAAGTTCTATATATCTCAGAAAAACTCGATCTAGAAATCTTTGGGGAATTCCAGAGACCTTAAGCGGAAGTCTCCGAAATTTAAGTCCAGACTATTGGTTTGGTTTAAAAATCTAAAAGCGTGAGTTTAGACAGATTCAGGAGAATTCCATGATGTGCTGAAATAAAATCGAGAACCCTTAAGATGTTGCGAGAGATGCAGTACAGAGACCTTCAGAAAATGTATGAAAAGTTCAGAAATATTTCAGGAACTTCACATAAATCTAGAGAATTCCAGGAAAGTTTAAAGGTATTCATGAGAGTTCCATTTATTTTTAAAGCAGAACCGAGATCTTCATTAGAATTGATAGCTTCAGCGAAGATCCGAGAACATCAAGACATCAACGAAGTTCCATTAATTAAAAAAATGCGAGAACTTTTAGCAAGCACCGATATTTTCAAAAAATTCCAGGGAACTTCTGAGGAATTCAGATATTTTTCGATTGTTTCATTATATTCAGTGAAGTTCCGAGTACTTCGAGAACGATCAGACAACATCACAAAAATCCTATTAACTTAAGGAAATTTGCAGCGACTAACAAGATGTTCCTTGAAATTATGGGATATTCCTAGAATTCTATGATTGGTCTGAAAACTTTAGAAGATTCAGGGGATTATAAATATATATATATCAGAAAATTTACCGGAACATTTGATCAATTTAGAGAAATTAAGGTAACCATAGAAAACTTCAGGGCTGGACTTTCCAAGGAAAATTAGTGATTTAAGTAAAATTCTAGAAGGCAATTCAGTCAATTCCAGTAAAATTGTGGGTTCTTTAAAAAAAATACTACGATATTCAGGGCAGTCTAGAGAATTTAAGGAAATTGAGAAATATTTTGGGAAGTTTTAAAAAACGTCAGGAAACTATAGACTTTGAAGAAGCTATAAATTAGTTTCAAAAATAGACAAATCTTGAGCTATATTAATTATTTCGTTGCGGGAGCTTAAAGAAGTTCCTGAAATTTCAGAATAACTTCGAAAACTTCACAGAAGTTTAGTAAAGCTCCAAAAACAAGGGGAATTTCAGGGGAGTTCAGTTCTATTAGTTTCACTAAATTAGCGGAAAATTTCAAGAAGTTCCAAGATTTTCTGAGAACTTTTAGAGATGTTAAGAAAATTATTGAGGTTTCCAAATAAGTCCAGAAGTTCACGGGAGCATATTTTTTTTTAGAATTAAGCTCAATTAAATTCAGGGTAGTACAACAAGCTTCATGAGAACTGCAAACACTTTAGAGAACTTTCGAGAACTTCAAGAAAGATATTTATCCAAGATGGCGGCTTTCAATATCTGAAAAAGTGGGAAATACTGTCAAATACCTCGTCAAATACCCATCAACACGGGGTTTTTTAGTGTCGGGGTAACGTCTGGAAGCCGGAAATCGATGTCCGACGCCATTTTGAAATCCAAGACGGTGGCTTCCGAGTTTCAAATACCCTACAATATGGGTATTTTCGGAACGGGATGACACGTAGATGCCGAAAATCGATGTTCGACGCCATCTTGGTATTTAAGATTCTAAGGTTTCAGAAAAAGTGAGAAATATTGTCAAATACCCATCAATAAGGGTATTTTCGAAAAGACGTCACTGTCTAGAGGACACAAACCGATATCTGATGCCATTTTAAAATCAAAGATGGTGGCTTCAATACAGAAAAAGTGTGAAAGGATTTCAAGTACTTATCAATGAAGATCTTTTGGAAATCGGTTTGACATCTAGAGGCCGGAAAGCTATGTCCGACGCCATCTTCAAATTAACTCTCATAAAGTGAAATTGTCAGGTTTTATGTAAGATACACAAACTATACAAACTCTTCTGGCTACTGACAAATACAAAATATCATCATAATCATAATATCTCAAGGGGTGGTCACTCTACACACGTATTTTCCGCCAACGTTTTTCTCAGTGTGCCTCACGTGTGCCGGCAGTGCCGTGAGTGTCATTTTGTTTGTGTAATGGTATGTTTGGTAACCCGGTGAATTTGACAGTTCACATGTTTTGTTTTGAAGAAACAAAACAACAAGCAGTGGAATCCGTGACTCTCGGTTCGTTGCTCCCAAATTCTATCGGAAAAGGAATACACTGAACCTAATAAGCAACGGCTTCAGCCATCGAATCGAAGCTGATAACGTTCTCCGGGGAGGCACTTCCAATTTCCGAAAGGTACAATAACTTCTACTGGATTGGAGTATGATGAGGACTTGGATTAACCACAGGTGACGGTGGTAAGTAGACGACCTTACGACCTTCTGTGCGGATCGGATTCCATAATCCATTCGTTCCTCATAGAGTTCGAAAGGCTACGTTCGGATCAGATCTACGAGGATGATTGCAAACATCGCGATGTTGAAATGCTTACCGAACTGCTCCAATCGTTGGGCACTATGGAAAACACCGGTCACTTTACACTTCGCTGGGACTTCTTCTCCGCCAAGCCTAAATATTATATTTCAAGCCACAAGGGTCGTGCCTAATTTTATACAGCCCAGGGCTGAACCGTCTCCGGTAAGGTCGTTTCTAAGGGCTAAACCTATCCTTCAACCAACTCACCGATGTTAACTTTCAGGAGCTCACCCTTAAGCCCAACAACTGACCAATCGACATTTTACAATTCCACACACCTCCTTCGGCTGTGATTTTAGCTCCGTGACGAATCTCCCCGCCACAAATCAATCTACCAACATCTTCAACCTTCCTTTCACTTCCTCCTTCAGGGTTTCGCTCTCCCTACTAACCAACTCACTAATCACATTCTGCATCGGCATTATGACCAGTAGCAGTCCCTTCATGGTCATCTTTCCAATCAGCTTCCGGAACGATGCCACCCCCTTCCCAACTTCGATCAAACTGTTCTGAAACACCAAATAGAACCGTGAGGAAATTCACGGTTGTAGTGATTATCGCTGATTATCATCTTAAAACATCTACAGAGCAGGCACAGATATAGTACAGTGTTGCCAGTAGCTTTAAATATCATGACAATTTCTAACCATGGGTACCAATGAAAGTGCCCAGGTGTGCCCGTGTGTATTTTTGGCACACTGTGCGGAGTGACCAACCTCTTGTAATATGATTCCATTATTCTATAAAACAATTTCAATGCTCAAAAATATCATTATTTGGCTTCTATGAAGATCGAACACATCGATCGGAAAGATCGATTTTTACGATTTTTTAATAAACAAAGATTCGATCCTAAAAATCTGCAATCGAGATCCAAGATCGCGCAATCCTAACGGCAACGCAGCAAGCCATGCGCATTGAATTGATTGGAATTTCGAGACAACGCCTGCTATCTAATGTGATGAATGCGTGGAATGATAAATATTTGCACAAAAACGACGGATAGACGGCAGAGGGTAAAGATAATATTTGTTATTCTCACACAAATGTAATGTTATCAGGTTTCATGAATACATTCAAGTACAACTACACACTTAGAAATAAGTAATTCCACACGGCATTAAGTGCTCAGAGACTGAAAAGTTCTTTGATTGGCGTTTGATTAAGCTGAACTTCGCATCTGCTCTGAATCAATTGCATAACAAAATTGACGCTCGTATGTGTCAGTCTCTGAGCATCTGTAGTGCCTAAAACTCAAACTAATGAGTGTGCCCGAATTGAGTTACATGAAGCTAGTGTGTTATAGACTAGCTCTACTTTCGTGACGTCAGCTCCAACCAAACGCCTTTCTCTGGTTGCAGCGTGAACGCACTCTTGGACAGTTGCAGAGGAATCTGCGTCCGATCCGAAGGCTCCAGGCGGAAGTCTTGCAACAGATAGTACATGGCCATCTTGATCTCCATCAGTGCCAACCTCGGTCCGATGCAGTTGCGTGGTCCCGCTCCGAACGGTAGATACGTTCCCGGAGTAATCCGGGACCTATTCTCTTCACTGAACCGCTCCGGGTCGAACCGTTCCGGACACGGGTAGTATTTCGGATCGTGATGAATCGCCAGGATCGGGATCCAAAGGGTGTTACCTTTCTCGATGACAAATTTGATCCCTGCTTCGTCGTCAAACACGTAGTCCTCATTGCTGTGGCGATCTGTTAGGGTTGCCGTTGGCCACTTGCGCAGAGTTTCCGATACGACCATATCCATGAACTTCATCTTCTGAAGAGCATCGTACGTCAACGGTTTACCACCAAGTGACGCTTCGGTTTGTTCGATTTCTTCGTAAAGGCGCTTTTGAATTTCCTGATCCACCGTAAGTTCGTACGATAGGAAGGTCAAAATACTGGATATGTTGTCAAATGCGGCAAAGAAGAACAGGAAACACTGCGCGACCAGTTCGTTCTCCGTCCAAATCCTGGAGTGCGTAGACTTTCCAACGTTGGATTCTTCGACCGTCGCAAAACCATCTGCTTCCTTTGCTTCTTGTTCGTCCTTCTCGTGCTTCAGTGCACCCGTCTGAGCCCCCATCAGCATGTTCACCATATCGTTGCGAACGATCCCTCGAGCTCTGCGTTGTTCCATATTGTCCAGTATCGTCTTCTTGAAGTATTCCGCAAGGTCAGCATCGACCAGATCAACTCTCACTACCTTCTGCAAAAAGGGCAGCAATCTTATCGCGAAAGACAACACAATGGCTTTGAATGTGTGCACGTTCTGTGTTTGCTTGCCCTTAATGTAGAATTCGTTTTCCGGATCGCGGAACGAGTCCACCTCGATCCCGAAAGCAACCGTAGCGATCGCATTGCTTACGAACCGCGAAAAAGTGTCCTTCATTTCGAGCTCCAGCTTCCGGCGACCGGAGCTTGCTTCCAAATGGAAAAAGTCCATCATGCTGATCGCACGATCGGACACCAGCTCGAACATCTGTCTGATGCGACTACCGGTGAAGGCTGGACTTAGCGTCGATCGCATGTCGCGCCACTTTTGTCCACGAAGTGAAAACAAAGAATTGAAGAATAGACTATCTTCGGTGGTTGATTCGCCGTATGCAGAGGGCAACACCGGGGATCGATCGGTGAAGTGATCAAAATCTTTTATGGTGATCTTCTTGATCATCTCCGGATCGCGAACCATGTACGTGGGCTCCATGACAGTGTAGTATCCGATTATCCTAGCAAGATGGGAAAAGGTCTGGTGATCATGTTTTACTCTAATCGTACCCTAGGGTGTACTCACTTGGCATCTGGGAAGCTGTTGTAGAGCACTTTCGAGCCAAACACCAACTTAACTTTTTTGAAGAACACTTGATCGTAAATGCCCAGCAGAAACGTGGGCTTGATGCACGGAATTGGCTTGGTCAGAAAGTACTGGTACTTCTTGGCCACGTAATGGTACAACAGTAGGACGATGACTCCTACGGCAACCGCTGCGAATAGATTCACCATTTCGTCCAAGTTGGCATTTGCCAGTCGATTTACTTTGTAATCTTAGTAGGCCGCAAGTGAACCCCACTTTAAACGATTCCGAATGGATGCAGTTAGAAATTTTGTTTGCGAAGCAAACTGAAGAACCGGATGCAACCGATGCTAAGGTAAACGCTCCTATAGTTGTGGTACGTTTGAAGCGTTATGTTCCTACAGTATGGATACTCCATACACAACTACAGGAACCTAGCGCTTCTAACGTATCGCAACAGTAGGAGCGTTCACCCTAGCGGTATTAGAGAATAGTATAAATAAACTTGAAACTCGCATCGCGTCACGTCGTCTGAAAACGGCGTTCGTGTGAAAGCTGACTCACGCAGTGCACCTTCTACGCCGTTCATAATACGATACGATGAGTATGTATGGTGGCGCATGCAACGTTGCCACTTGTTTTTTTTTTTTTAATCTGTATTTTCACTGTTATTTTTTTTTTAATCTGTCTCTAACTGAGAAAAATCTGAATCTGCATAATTTCTATAGAATGGTCTAAGTTCTACAAATTTGGATTTATTTAAAGTTCAGTACGAGTTTGTTCAATGTCGGAATCTTGACAAATTATTGAAGTTTGATGTCATCTCGAAACCCAGAATTTTGATTTTTTTTAAATATTTGTATCTTTTCTACAAGCCTAAAAATACAAAAAAATAATTCCCAGTAGCATAATGTCATAAACATGGCCCGGATGGCCGTCGGACCGTCCTCCGGAACATCCGGAACATCCGTAAAAGTGTTCAATCTATGAAACTGATCCTAGAACTCCACGGTTTTTTTTTCGAAAGCATTAGGAACTGTTATATAAGAAAGAATTTGGGGTCGTACCATAAACATGAACCTGGATGACCATGAAACCGTCTTCCAGAAGATCCGTAAAAGGTGTTCATCGATGATACTTATTCTAGAACTTCACGGTTTTCTCGAGAATACTTCAAACTGTGAAGTTTTCGAAAAAAATCACGGCTTTTTCATGTATGAAACACTTTTACAGATGTTCCGGATCTTCCGAATGACGGTCCAATGGCTATCCAGGTTCATGTTTATGTCATGACTCCAAATTCATTCTTATAACACAGTTCCTAATATTTTTTGAAATAAACTGCGGGGCTCTAGGAACAGTTTCATGGATTTACCACTTTGAAGGATGTTCCAGATCTTCCAGAAGACGGCCTCATGCCCATCCAGGTCTAGGTTTACGTCCCGACCTATTTTTTTTAATTATATCACAGTTCCAAGAGATTAAAAAAAACAGCTGAGCTCTAGAATCAGTTTCATGGATAAATCAATTTTACCGATGCTCCGAATCTTTAGAAGGACGGTTCCATAGCCATCCGGGTTTTCGAAAAAAAACTTCGGAGCTCTAAAATCAGTTTCATGGGTGGACCACTTTTATGGATGTTTCGGATTTACCGGAGGACGGTCCTATGGCCATCCAGGTACAGGTTTATGTCATGATCCCAATTTTTTTGTGATATAACAGTTCCTAATGTTTTTAAAAAACCGCGGAGCTCTAGGACCAGTTTCATGGATGGACCACTTTTAAGGATCTTTCGGATCTTCCGGAGCACAATGTCATGACCATCCGGCACCATGTTTATTTCACGACCCTAAATTATTTCTTATATCACAGTTGCTAGTGTTTTCGAAAAAAAACCGCGGAACTCTAGAATCAGTTTAATAGAAGAATCACTTTTACGGATGTTCCGGATCTTTCAGAGGATGATCCTATGGCCATCCGGGTTTATTTTATATCACGACCCAAAATTCTTTCTTATATCACAGTTCCACGTGTTTTCGAACAAAATCATGGAGCTATAGGATCAGTTTCATGAATGGACCACTTTTACGGATGTTTTGGATTTTCCGGAGGACGGCCCCATAGCTATCCGGGTCCGTGTTTATGTCATGAACCCAAATTCTTTCTTATATCACAGTTCCTGATGTTTAAAAAAAAATCGCTTCCGGAGGACCGTTCCGTTGTCTCCAGGATCCATATATAGGAACCATGACTGTATTCGGGCTAATTATGAACATTTGTGCCCATTAATCTCATTTATGGATCTTAGGCCACTTGCAAAACCCATAAACACTCCTTTAAATGAAAACGTGTAACGACTCTTTTCGCTTTTCAATCAATAAGACGACCCTATTTTTAATAATCTACAGACTCTGGGAATTCTAGAAGTACCACAATTTTTGAAATTCATCAAGAAATGGCTAAGTTATGCTATTGCAAACGTGCCGTTACACGTTTTTCGGAGGCATCATATTCGGAGTGTTAATAAAGTGACAACCACATTTCCCTACTATTTGATTTTATTTAAGTTCGAGATTACGGAAATCTTTTATTTTCATTTGGTTTTATCAACTGCTTTATTCTTCACTAGCTGAGTGTGCCCGGTCTTGCTCGGGATTCAATATTAGCTTGAGTTTATGCGCCGATTTAAAAATAAAGCATGCTATTTTGTACGTAGCTCCCCCCCCCCCTATTATCTAAGGGGCTACCCCCTATGATTATCTCCTTATACCCCCACATGCGAGCCCCACATGCCTAATTTGGTTCCATTTGCTTGATTAGTTCTCGAGTTATGCAGAAATTTCTGTTTCATTTGTATGGGAGCCCCCCCTTACAGAAGGGGGAGGGGTCTCTAACCATCATAAGAACCTTCCACGGCCCCAAAAACCCCTGTATACAAATTTTCACGCCAATCGGTTCAGTAGTTTCCGAGTCTACACGGGAAAAAATGCGATCTCCGAAATAAGAAAAATGACTCATGATTTCATGAACACAGCGTATTTTCATGTTATGAAAATACACCATGAATAATATTCATGATATCATGAGCAACTTTTGCGTAACGCAGCAACCATTCCCAAAATCATGAATCATCATAGTTGAAATCATGAGCTAAATTCATGGGTTTAACTTTTAACCAAAAAATGTAAAAAGAATAAAATAAAGCACCAGACTGGATTAGAACCAAGAACCTTGAGATCATTTAACCCATACTTTGACCACTAGACTATCAGTACTTGAATAAGATGGAAGACAAAATGCGTATAAGAGATACCTATGTAGTGCGGTTTATGAACACGGTTAGCAAAGTACGTGTAACGCTTGTAGCGGTCTTGATTTAACTGCATTATGAAATCATGAATTTCCAAGACAAAAACATGAATCATTGTTACGATTTCATGGGATGGAAAGTTTTTTCATTTCATGATTTTTTATTCATGAAAATGAAATCTGATTTGTTTCCGTGTATAAGGGTCAGACAGACAGACAGACAGAAATTCATTTTTATATATATAGATAGAAGATAGATTAAGCTTCTATGTTTGATTTTAAATTTTCTATTTTTTTCTAATTAAATCCAATTTCAACATTAGATAAGATTCAGGATGGCAAATGAACCAGGAAAACCGGGAAAAGGGGATTTTATTTTCCCCAGTTAAACAGTTGAGTTAAAGTTCTTAAGAAAAGTTATAGCTTAGAACAGTTCCATGAAGATAAGGAAAATTGCAGGAACCATAGAACTTTAGAGCAAATTCCATTAAATTCAGGAAAATAGCGAGGAAAGTTCCAAGAACTTCAGGAAAGATTGGCGAACTTTAGGAAGGTCCGCAAAAAAAAAACAAGGTAGAAGTTCCGAGGATTACAGGAAATACCCAGGATTTTGAGAAAACTCCATGAACAAACCGGGGGATAGTAATGGAAGTTCCGGAAATTTCGGGAACTTCAAGGAAGCTTCGAGAACTTTAAGGTAGTTCCATCAACTTCAGTGAAATAGCAGAAACTTTTAAGAAGTTCTATGTACTTTAGAGAGCTTCATGGAAGTCAAGAAACCTTCAGAGAAGTTTCAAGAGCCTCAGAGATGCTAGGAAGCTCAGGCAGTGATTAGACTTAAGGAAAGCCCAAATTTTCGGGGAAGTAAAAAGATCTGTAAAGATTAGTTTCGATAAATTCAACTTAAGGAAAATTTTGATTAACTTTAAGAAATTCCAAAAATTTCATGGTAGTCCAGAAAATTCCTGAGCAGTTTAGAAAACTTTAGGCATATAATCGAAACTTTATAGAAGTCCAGAGATGTTCAGGAAAGTTTTAATAGTTTTTGGGACAGTGCCATTTTTGACCATGGACTTGAGGAGAACTTCTTTAGGGGTGATGACCAGTTAGTACTTGAAGGAAGATCTAAGAACTTCATACCAGTTGCGTAAATTAATTGCAGGATCTTTCAAAAAATTTGTGATAACTCATGGAAAATTCCAAGAATTTCAGGAATTTTCCCGAAATTTTAGGAAAATAACAGGGTCTTCAGGGATGTTCCATGAATACCAGGAAAATTGCTGGAACGTTAGAGATGTTCTGAGAACAATAAGGGAACTTCATGAAGGAACGGAATCTTCAGGAAAATGGCGGGAACTGTCAAAAAGTTCTGAGCAGTTCACGGAAGTCTAGAGAACTTTGCTGATGTTCAGAGATCATAAGGGCAGTTCAAATAAATTCACCGAATACTGGAAGAGTTCGTCTGGACACTCGGGGAAGCTTAAAGGCTATTCATTCTTCAAAAAAAAGTACTGATTACATCTCCAACGTTTCGGTCCAAGGGGTTGGAATCTTCATTAGGGCTGGATTAAGTTTTGTAAAGTATATTTTTGCACTTAACCAAAGGGGGCACATCTTTATATCCCCTGACGATGTCCAAGTCCAAAGACCGGTAGGTTGGACATGAAGCATCGTAGCGTTTTGATCAACCGTTAACCTGATAATCCAATACATGAATCATTCGCAGGGGGTAAGTCACTCTGTCACCTTGTGTCTGTGCTTATTGTGTTTCATGTGTGTTTTTGGGTGTCGGAAGATGTTGCTGGGTGTTTCGTCATCTTGACCGAGCTGTCAAAATTTCAACCGGGCTCCTTTGTAGTTAGTCGTTCTGTGACCATACCACAGACAGTTTTCGCAGAGATCCACTGTCCTCATGAAAGGAAGAATCCTTGTTGGACAGCAAAACAGCTTAACGCGATCTGGCAGTTGATTTGTGCGGAACGTTACGCTAACTCGCGCTAACGGGATCCGATCGTTGTTTGCAAAGTGATGCAGCCTCCTAACTCGCGTAATCAGGAACTGCGACTCTAGGCCGGCCTCAATTTCGGTTTCTGTCATGTTAACTGGAACTCCAGCGATCACACCTGTGATGGATACCAAGTGACTTGGTACATGCGCTCTGTAGACTTCACTTTGTGCGTTAATCTTTTCCAACAGCAGGTTGGCTTTGATGAAGTTGTTAACAACCACCATCACCTTGAAGCGACCCACATACTTCATGTCAATAATGTGACCTCGAATGCCTTCAATCTGCGTAAGAGCAGACCCAAGAGAAAACTTGTTGATCTTCGTGTTCTTGTCTTGAGATCGTAGTTCGACGTAGATTCGGTACGGAGCAGTGTCCGAGAATGTGAATATGATATTCTCCCATCCTTGGTCATTCTTCTTCTGCGTGCTTGTACCCGGAATAACCAACGGGGCTGCATTTTGATCCATGTCCTTGTTCCTTTGAAGGGAGCCTCCAGCGGCCCCTTCTTCGGAACCTTAAGGTTCCATACTGTATCAGTTAACCTCACTTCAGTGCTGATTTATTTTTTCATCTCTAATAACAAAATGGCTGCCTTAGTGCAGCGGCGTCCTTCCCCCGTTCTTTTAATTTCAAATGCTTCTGTATTCTTTAACTTTTCCTTCACTTTATTTCTTATATTCAGTCACATTTTTTTTTTTTCTTAGAAGCACTCTTAACTGCAACTTTTCGCAGGGATATAAAAATACACGTGGTAAACAAAACTCGTGTCCTATACACGGTACTACCGAAACGAGAATGCCGATAATCCTCGTACTCAATCGTACCAATCTGGGGTCGAAGCGTTGCAACTGTAAACAAAAACAACAACAACAACAACAATAACAATTGAATGTAAACATTATTTGCAGTGGTGCCAGAATTGATTAAAACATTTGCTTATCATGGGGCGGCAGGGTGTTTGTGGGTGTTTGAAGTGTGTCGACGTGTGTTTCTCTGGGTGTTAGCACAATGTGGTGTAGTGTGACTCACCCCCTGATCATGCAGCCTACTGGCTGATCAGAAGGGAAAATGGGTTTAAGGTTATGCAGAGCACGGGTCGCTTATTTAATAGCACTGTTACGCAACTTTCAACACTGATCACTTACCTTGGCAGGAACCAATCTATTTCAATCAACAGTTACGAAGGAAAGAAGGACTACCAACCAGTTCTATAAACAAGGTGAAGATGATTCTTTAAAACGGACAATCAAGAGCGAGGTCTGGATACCCCTTTTTGGGCACGAAATCCGAAATTGAAGAAAGGAAACTTTTGGGGAATGTGTCTTGAAGTAACATCAACAAAATCTTCTTACATGCTTGACAATTTATTTGGCCCAGGCGGGGCAGTTGATTACGATAGAGAGAGACATTTTAGTGGTTTTACTTTTTCTGCTGGTGGTTGCGGTGAACGGCGGCTACGGTGGCTAGCTTTTGATGGTGGTGGTTGAACGGTGGGAGGGCCCTCCGACGACGATCCTTTGAACTTTCACCGGATCTCGACCGGTCGAAGAAGGTATGCTTTGGCGGTATGCTCGACAGACGAGTGGGCAACAGTAGCACACCGGCCTCCGGTTACGAAACTTTGCTTGCCAACTCCGAAGTCGGCTCGTGGATCGATGTGTCCTGTACTTGAACTGGAACGTTTGCCACGGTTCCGAACCAGCTGCTTGCCAAGTTCCCAATTGTTGGTGTCACTTTTCTGTCCGATATTACTCCCAAGATGGCGTCCTGCTCGGTACCCAACGAACGAGGTTCCAAGATGGCGTATTTGGTCCAGTACCCACCAACCGAGGTTTTGGGGTGACTCCGAAATACTGTAGCGTTTACCACAATCGGTCGTAGATTTCGCTGGGGATGAAATAAAAATCCTCTGGGATTGAACCCCGAGGCCGGAAAAAGAAAAGACCCGGGTGCGGACCTGATCCGGAATATTAGCGCACTAGTTGTAACTGGTAACTGTTTGTAGGTTAATGAGAGATAGGATAGTGTCTCGGCTCAAACCGCCGTCAATAAACGATCCGTGTGCGTAACTTTACCAGTGCTCTGTAAATAATTCGACCACCGTGCGCATTTAAAACGACAGCTAAGGATTCAAAAGGCGTTAGGTTCTCACTGGCAAAAATCAATTATTTTATTTATGTGTTTCGCTTGTACATTTTTGCCAAAACATCAGCCTTACAAATTCTATAAGACCACATAGGTCCTATAAGAATGCATAAAAGGTATGTGTGACCGCTTATACATTTCATTTGACACATGATGTTCATTAATTTTTTGCAAGGCGTCTTCTTATTAGTTGACTTATACATTTTATGAATAATCAGCAATAGAAATTTGCCAAAAGGTATAAGGAGATTTCTATCCGTGTAGACATTGGGATGTTTGTGGAGGAGCCAACAAACTACAATTCTGGGACCAACGGTTACAATCATTAGTAGGTATTTTAAAGAAAAAGATGAGCTGCTTGCACACAGTTATGGGCGGTCTTTAAAGGAAATGTATCGATTTGAAGGGGGTGGGGGCGCACATATTAGAAATCAGTGAGTAACCACACCCAACTCAGCAAAATTCGTAGAATTTCAGGGAAGTATAACAAGCTAAAAAAACGCTTAAGTCCAGAAAGCTTCTTAGAACTTCAGGGATCTTCGTATTTAAGGAGCTTTAAAGCTGTTTGTCACAGATCTTGCTTAAAAAACTTAATGAACTTTCTAGATGTTTTGGGAGCTACACTTAATTTCTGAAAACTGCCCAGATGTTTAGAAATATTTGTAGAAAAGTTTGAGGGTGTTTTCTGAAGTTCGGAGAAGTACATAGCTGTTCTGAGATCATTTTTGAATTAAGAGAGCTTAAAAAAAAGTATGGAACTTGAAAGACATTCAGGAAATTTCGTAGAAGTTTAATTTTTTTTCTAGAAGTTAAGGAAATTTCGTAGATGTTCAGGAAACATTGTATGAGTTATAGAAAACTCGTACACGTTCATAAAATTTGGTAAAAATCCAGTGTACTGCCTAGAAGTTTGGGAAACTTTATATGAGCTATGGAAAAATCGTAGAAGTTCAGAGAGCTTCGCAGAAGTTGGTGGAACTTCCAATAAGTTCAGGGAACGTCATAGAGGCTAAGGAAAATTCGGATAAGAAACCATTGTAGAAATTCGGAAACTACGGAAAATTCGTAAATTCGCAATTTCAGAAACTATCTCAGACATTCGTCCAAGACAGATGGTTGATCAGAAAGTATTCAAAACATCTCCAGATTATCAATGATTTCAGTTAAGTCCTCTTTCAAGACTTCAAGGTTGTTCAAGTATTATTCTGAAGATCTCCATCTGTTCAGGGAAAAAAAATGTAATTGCATCTCTCAAATTCTTTCCCAAAATTGCTGGTTGATCATGTTGAGAATTGTTCAAAAGATATTTTTTAAATGGCATCTCGCAGAGTTGGCCGGTTGCTCGAAAATTATTCAAAAGATCTCGAAGATTTCATTACAGTCCTTTAGATTTTTGTTTTGCTCAAGCCTTCTGGTTGATCAAGAATTCCTTTAATTTATCAACGTTTTCATAAGGAGACCTTGTTATATGCCGTCATAATATTAATTTGTATAACAAAAATTATCACTTGACTGCCGAAAACTCGAAAAAGCCTTTAATTTCAACATATCTTCAAAAAGAAGACATGGCTTCAAATCTGGCACCCCTGGTATCCATTCACAACCACAAAGCAGGCCTTACCGCCTCCTGCGCCAAACGCACTTGGCCTGCTGTGTTCTTGTGTACCGCTACGTGAAGAGCAGTTTTGAATTCGAAGTGATTTGATTACAAACAACACCCGGCGACTGCCAGCTAGTTGTTTGCTTCGTCAATTTCACTGGTCACTTTAAATCTAGAAACTATGCCTATTATCATCATCAGAGCTTTCAAACAGTAATTGCTTTACGAGTACATTGAAGATTGTGAATGGAAACAGATGCTGTTGCAAAAGTCAATTTGCATTCAGTAGTCTGACCTGCCACGCCCCATTGATGATCTCATCGTCATATCAACTCTTTTCGTAATTAGAAGGTTCACATGGACACGCGACGCAATACGATGTATGAGCGTTTTTAGTCAACCTGAGGACAAGATGGATAGAGGCCACAAATGGCCGCTGTCATGGCTGATTTTACAGGGCAAAGGTTATTTGTGGGTTCTAACAACCTTGGCGTTAATAATATCAAATTACCGTTCCACTCAATAGTACCCTTTGCTGACACCTGAACAATCGGAGTTACACTCAGCTCTTAATCAAACTCATGTTTGTGAGAGCTCTGTACAAATGATGAACTGATTCCCCAAATACGCCTATTCTGCCCTATGTGACATAACAGTCCCAATTGGAATCGACAGGCAGGTACTATCAAATTACAATGTACACGAAAAGTTTTCAACTTAGTTCAGAAAATGTCGCGAAAAACAGCAAAACTGTGTTGTCCCATCCATAAGAGTCCATGGAGGAAAAAAACCTTCAACAGCGTTTCTCTCAGCATGCTGTTTTAACGAACTATGCTGAAAAGAGCAGTAGGTATAGGGACTGTCTGTTTTCGCGTGAATAAGTTATAAACGCAATGCATTGCTTTCATTTATTGCATTGAATACCGATTGTCCTAAACATTACAATTCAATTTCTCTTCATCCGAGTAACCAATGATTTTCCGTTTCCACCACGTCATGGCACCCTTGGTTTGAACTCCAACCAAACTCCCTTCTCACCCTGCAGGATGAATCCATTCTTGCTCAACCGCAGCGGAATCTGCGTCTTCTCCGTCGGTTCGAAGCTGAAATCCATCAGCAGATAGTACACGATCGATTTGATCTCCATCAGCGCTAGCCGCGATCCGATGCAATTTCTCGGACCGGAACCGAACGGTATATACGATGCCGGATTGATCTTCGATTTGTTCTGCTCGCTGAACCGCTCCGGATCGAACCGGTCCGGATTGGGATAGTACTGCGGATCGTTGTGGATGGCGATCGCGGGAATCCAAATGCTTCTACCCTTCTCGATCACAAAGCTCGTACCGGCACCGTCGTCGAACCGGTAGTCCTTCGTGCAGTAGCGATCGGAAACCACACCCGGTGGCCACTTGCGTAGGCTTTCCGACACGACCATATCCATGTACTGCATCTTCTGAAGCACCTCGTACGTCAGCGGCTTTCCATCCAGGGACTTTTCCGTTTCCATCACTTCTTCGTACAGACGCTTCTGGATCTCCGGATTAATCGTTAGCTCATACGTCAAAAACGTCAACCCCGTGGACAACGTATCGAACCCAGCTAGGAAGAAGATGAAACACTGCGCGACCAGCTCATTGTCCTTCCAAACTCTCGAGTGCACCGATTTTCCCACTTGCGATTCCTCCACCGTCGCAAATCCAGCATCCTTCGTTTCCTGCTCGTCTTTCTCGTGCTTCAACGCACCCTTTCGAACTTCCATCAGCATGTGGATCATATCGTTCCTCACGATCCCGTGTGCCTGTCTCTGTTTCATATTTTCCATGATCATCCCTCTGAAGTACTTCGACGCCTGCGCATCGACAAAGTCCGTCCCCAGTTTCTCCATCAAAGCAGGCATTGCTCGCATTAGCAAAAACTTGACCATCACTGACCACCGTTGAAAATTGAGCAACTGCTTACCCTGCATGTAGAAATCGTTCTCCCGATCGCGCAGCGAATCCACCTTGATCCCGAACGCCACCGTGGCGATCACATCGTTTCCAAACCGCGCAAAAGTGTCCTTCATTTCGAACTCCAACCGCTTCCCGGCCTCAGCTTCCGAGCGCAAAAATTCCGCCATAGACCTACCGCACTCGACTACCAGTTCGAACATGTGACGCATCTTACTGCCGGTAAAGGCCGGACTCAACGTTGCCCTCATGTCGCGCCACTTCTGCCCCCGCAGTGCAAACAGCGAGTTGGAAAACAGGGCACCATCGTCGATATCCTCACTCGTTCCCGTCATCGTCGGCGTATGGTCGGTGAAGTGATCGAAATCCTTCACCGTAATCTTCTTCACCATTTCCGGATCACGGATCATAAAGATCGGCTTGGTCAGATCGTAGAAGCCCATGATTCTGAAAGATCAAACTTCTTAAGGCCATTTGATTGCGAAACGTTTGTGAACGTTTGGAACGAAACTTACTTGGCATCCGGAAAGGAGTCGTACAGCATTCGAACGTGACTCACCATGTCCCGTCGCCGTGTAATCATGGGACCGGTGTTGCCCAGCAGAAACGACGGTTCGACACATGGTATCGGTTTCGTCAGAAAGTAGGTGTACCGTTTCGATATGTAGTGATATGCCGCCAAGATAAGTCCTCCGACGGCAATCGCCACGAATAAATTTACTTCCATCATTTTGCTTGATTGATGCAATGTTGCACTTGAACTAAACGATCACAGTAGGCCACTGTGGCTTGCTTGAAGTGTGAAAGCATACAGACTGAAAGCGCTGGCCGTCGTCGTATCGTAGTTGGCGACTGGGGGTGTGTTCAAATAGTCGGTGTTATTTACGTCGAAGCGGTTGATCGAAGCAAGCTGTGTGCTGTGTCACGCTGGTGCATGTAAGTGTGCAGCAAGCTTGAGATAATTCAACTCTCACGTAAAAATGCGCGTGGTTGTGAAATTTAGCTGTGGTGAGATTACTAATGGAATATGGGAAAGATTAGAACACATATTTACATATCTATCAAATGAGTCTACAAAGCTGAGTAAGAAGAGCATTCGATCGATCGAAAAAGAATACATTTTGAACAAAGGGCCTTCATAGCGCTTTCGGATTTGACATTTTCCATGAACTTGGTCTTAAAACATTTTCAGGACTGATGTGATGATTTGAAAAATATTTAGACCTGTGTTAATACATGGTTTCTCCATAGTTCAGGATGGTCTCTCAAATCGAATGAACCGGGAATTGACCGGGAAATAATCGCGAATTTGTTTGATCGCATTTATTTTTTTCATTAAATATTCAAAGTTCGATATCGCTTATAATCTTGAATCTAGTCGCATGACCTTGAACAGTTTTCTAATAACAGTATCTTGAAATTTTTGCTTAACCACAGTTTCTGAATATAGACAATGAATGTTAATCCTGGATCTGAAACATAATAAATTCTTTCTTTGGAACTTATCCCAGTTTGTTTCGCAAGAATTTTCTTAGGATAATTTCAAAATGTCATCAGAACTACTTTTATTTTCAGGGTTCCTTCCAATACCGGGAATACATCATATAACCATATATCCATAAAAGTCTTGGAATTCTGTGCGAAACAGGAATTCCTTCCAGATAAAATCTTGAAATTCACTCTACATCATTGCATTCTTAAAAATTGTCGCAAGAATGTGCTTTAGTTTCTCTTCATTTTATTCTTCAGAATTCACTTCACTTCAAAAATCGCTAGATTTCCTTTAAATCCCTCTTTCATTACATGGAATTCTCTTGAAACTCCTGTAAGATTTTTACTTTAAATTTCCTCAGAATCACCTGGAACACTACTCAGAGTTTCGTAAATTCGTGAAGGATAAGAAAGAAGCAAAATTAATAAATTTTTGATAAAAAAGTATAAAGGTCTGTGTCTAGGGGCACGAACGGAGGCTTGACGTAGGACCGTTAGTGGACGGAACTCGGGACGGAACAAATATTTAGTTCTTAATTCGATCCGTTTTTGAATTGGTGGCTCTGAAAAGGGCCGGTGGTTTTTCAAATGGTGGCCACACCAGTGCAAAATTCGGATGACGGCGGCCTAGTCATGCTTCCTATTGCGGGAAGCCTTTTCTCCGGTCGATTTGGGTGCTTTCGTCGTCGTCGATTGGTGCGATGCGTACTGTTCCAGTCATACGTCGTGTCCGACGCTTATCCGTCCGTTGTTCGAAAAAAAAAATGACGAAGAACGATTTGGCAAGCGTTTTTATTATCGCTGCTTTTCTCCTCCCTTCCTTTCATTGGTGAAATGGTGAGCGATCAACCGAGCATTGAGCTCGCTCCTGTGAACATGCGTAATGCGTCGTTTGTTCGATTTGCGCTTTATCGTTGCGTCCGTGTTTGGGATTTTTCGTTACATGTCTGAATTTTGATTTTTTGTTATGTGACCCCCAGAAATTAAAGACGTAGTCCTACGTAAAAAAAAGTTTATAAGTCATACATCAATTTGAAAACCTACAAGGGACAGCCCTATGGGGTTGTACGCAATGGTGACGTGGTCTTATATAATAAATCTTATTTGTTAATTACAGCAGGAGCTGGTGTTTTGTGTATGAATAGGAATTCGAGCGGGTTTCTCTCTATTTATACTCTTTAGGCTGTGAACCATTTGCCGAGTTAAATTCAACTCGTGGTTAAAAGCGACATTTTGAAAGTTATTTTCTATGTTCGAAAATCCCCGTGCTGTCGATCGATCGGTTTTTGAACCACAGTTGTCAAAATTTAACTTTTTGTCTGTCAGAAATAATAATGCTCGGATAGCAGGGTTATTTGATAACTTTCCATCTTTAAAATTTTAACCAAAAATTAAAAAAAAAATCGCCAAATTGTTCAGAGCCTTAGTATGATGCGCTTGACATGGCCCACAGCTACTCACGAAGAGCTACTGATTCCGATCAATAGCGGTGCGGCTTCTCCTTCCTCTATGGATGGTCATGTGTGCTGCAGCTCGCTGCTTGCTGGCAGCCTGTCGTTGTGTACTGGAGAACACCACCACTCACCACGCGGTGATTGAATAAACACCGTTTGGTGAGACTGGATGGAATTCAACTTTGAAATCCGTGCTAGGGAAATCGCTTTTCGCAGACAATCTGTGATAATTTTAATTATCCGAGCAACAGTTGCAAATTCGTGCAATTTTCAATAGTGACATTTTGAAAAATGATAAAGTTTCAATTTTAACAGATACGTAGAAAAAAAAATCCTATCGATTGGCGTATTAAGAATTAAAATCCGTCATCTTTGGATCAAAATCAGACCACTTTCATGCCACGACCGACTTTGGTTTTTGAAATGGTACCCCCAATGTTACCTTAAAGTACATGGTATGTTAGATTTAACATATCAAGATAGATTTGAGCATGAGCATCCATAGAAGGAGGAAGTACCTAGCCTACCAGTAGCTCTTCGTGAGTCGCTGTCGGCCATCTATGCCAAGCGCGTCACCCTCATTCCAAACAACATACAGCTCACCAGTCTCATCTGAGTTTAACATCCAAATAGCTCAGCATTACTCAATCATCACGACAAAACCGGTCCTTTTCAGTACCACCACAAATTTGCAAAAGAGTATTTTTTAGACATTTGTCAAGGTCATCAATCGGATGTCAGTTCTCATATCAAGATAAAGCTATTACGCCCTAATTCCAGCTCTATCTTGATATGAGAACTGACATCCGATTGATTACCTCGACAAATGTCTAAAAAATACTCTTTTAAAAATGTATGGTGGTACTGAAACGGACCGGTTTTCTCGTGATGATTGAGTAATGCTGAGCTATTAGGATCAAGGTTGCAAAGACTCATTTAAGCTAAAATAATGTTTTTCGGAATAATAAAACCAAAAGATGGTATGATGGCATGTTTTACTTGTAACTTACAAGAAGAGGTTACAAAGTATGCGTTGGAAACATAAAACCTGTAAATTTTGCTTTCTATGAGTCACAATCAGCGATTTGCTGATCGCTGAGTGAGTGAGTGAGTTTGTGAAAAATCGCTGATTGTGACTCTCATGAAGTGAAATATACAGGTTTAATATGTCAAACACATTCTTTGCAACCTCTTCTTGTATCCTACCAATTCAAAATTTGATCATGGCATCTAATTATTTCATAATTTATAAAAACATTGTTTTAGCTGAAATGAGTCTTTGCAACCTTGATTAGGATGTTAAACTCAGATGAGGCTGGTGAGCTGTATGTTGTTTGTAATGAGGGTGACGCGCGTGGCATAGATGGCCCACAGCAACTCACGAAGAGCTACTGGTAGCCTAAGTAACAATTTTGGTTTTATGAAGGTTCTGTAGGCCATGATTTAGACTTGTAGCATGCTTCAAAACCACTATAAAACTTGAAATGTTACTGGGGAGGCTAGATACTTCCTCCTTCTATGGATTCTCATGTGGGCTGCAGCTCGCTGCTTGCAGGTAGCCTTTCGTTGTGTAGTGTCGAACAATGTTCAACGCCACGCGCCGAAAGCACTGCACTGAATCCGATCAGTGGTTGAGGGCAGCCTTCATAGCTATCTGCTTGCTGGGAGCCTTCCGTTGTTAACTGAAGAACACCACCTTGACCACGCGGTTATTGAATTAACCGTGAGACCGGATGGACTTCAACTTTGAAATCTGTGTTAGGGAAATTGCTTTTCGCAGCCAATCGGTGATAATTTTAATTATAATAGCAACAGTTGCACATTCGTGCAATTTTCAAAAGTGACAATTTGAAAAAATGATAAAGTATTAATTTGAACAGAGGCGTAGAAATATTTCTAATCGATTAGTGATAAAATTATAGAAATTGGTTAAGGGACAGCTGAGTTATTGAAGTTCAAAATCTTTCATAATTGTGTTACATGTTCCATTTTCGGTTTTCACAAAGTGTACCCCCATATAGAAATCACAGACGTAGTCAAAAAATGTGGCCACTATGAATAAAATGATTTGAGATAAGCTTGAACATTTTTAAAATTAATGGACTGCAATAGGGAGAGTAAAAAATTGGTTTGACTTTGGGATCCGTCTTCGCTTCACCCAGGCTTTGACCGTTTTGACATAACAAGCTAACATTTATTTCAAATTAATCACAATATTGGTGACCTTATCCTATGTTACTTCCCAAGTAACATTGCAGGTTTTATCGCGGTTTAATAGCACTCTACAAGTCTAAATCAGAACCCTCATAAAACCAAAATTGTTACTTGGGTTGTATGTATCGTATTATATAATTTTTTAAAGATTATGATTTTTACGAAGTCATCCACTCGCCACTCTCGGTTTCAACCCGACCCAGATGCCTTTCTCGGTCACAATTCTCGTTGGCGACTTTTGCAACTTGAGTGGAATTTGTGTTTTCTCGTGCACTTCGAAGCTGAAATTCAGCAGCAAGTAGTACACGATGGCTTTCATCTCCATCAGGGCAAAGCGAGAACCTACGAAAAAAAAAGAAAACTTAATCAACAATGACTGCCTAACTAAATTCCTGCTCTTTAACAAACCGATGCAATTCCTGGGTCCGATCCCGAACGGAAGGTACGTATCCAAATTGATGTTGCGACGGTTTTCCACACTGAATCGCTCCGGATCGAACCGCTCCGGTTCCGGGTAGTACTTCGGATCGTGGTGGAATCCAATCACACTCGCCATCACCGATTTTCCCTTCTCAATCGTAAACCGACATCCCCGGCCGTCATCGTAGACGTAGTCCTTGACGCACATCCTCTCGACGATCGCTCCGACCGGCCACATCCGCATGGTTTCCGACACCACCATATCCATGTACTG